GAAGAAATTAGATTCCGCTCCTGGATATATATCAAGGAAATGAAAACATATGTCCACATGAAATTTGTTGAATGTTCATCGCAGCATTATTCATAATATTCTCAAAATGGAAACAACCCACGTGTCCACAAGCAAAGAATGAATACATATAATGCATATAATGTGGTGTATTCATACAATGGAATATTATTTGGCCTTAAAAAGGAATGAAGTACTGATACATCCTACAACATGGATGAACCTGGAAAATATGCTACATGAAAGAAGCCAGTCACAAAAGATGATTCCATTTATGTTATTTTAGGAAGACAGAAATCCATAGGGATAAGAAAGGATATTCATGGCTGCCTAGTGTTGGTGGGGAGGGAGGAATGGGGAATGACTGATAATGGGGAGGGGGTTTATTTTGGGGTGATGGAGAGGTTCTCAAGCTGACTGTGGTGGTGGCTACAAAGCTGGGGACAAATGAAGACCACCAAATTGTACCTTTTAAATGGGTGAAGTAAATGGTATGTGAGTTATATTTCAATAATGCTGTTACAAAACAAAAAAGAAAGGGGAAAATTTCCCCATTTCAAGCACGCAAAGTGTCATGGAAATAGATTTCACAACCAAGTGGTCTGCTTCAGTTTATGAGCAGAATTTTTCTTTTTCAGTGGCCTTGAGCTCGTTCTTCAAGGCAACTTTTCTCAAGGTTTGTGGTCAGAAGACCCCCTGGCCACTGCCTGTCTCCAGGCCAGGCGACCCTATGCGTGGCCCTCAGGCTGCCTCGTTCCATACGCCCAGCTCCCACCCCCCTACCCATACTGCTCGGCTGCTCCCAGCTCCCAAATGCCGGAGCTGCCACCAGGAGCCGTGGCGACGCAAGGGTGCACAGTGTTGTGATGTGTTTGGATAGGGAGTACATTCGGTGCCAGCGTTACCAGGCTCCAAGGGTGACTAATTCCTTCTGCATTTTCGGTTTCAGCTGCCTGGACTGTTCAGCTGGAGAACCTCAAACCTCTCAGCTGTTTTTGGAGAAGCTCGCCTCCCAGTTATGGATGCACGAGCTTAATTAAACCCATTCTGCCCTTTCAGCCACTACTCCACATGTATGTGCCTAACAAATACCTATTGAGCACCTACGATATGCCAGACACTATTCTGGGGACACAGCAGTGGCAAGATAGAGTTCTTGCCCTAATGAAACAAAAACTACAGAGTTTTGTTTTGTTTTTTAAAGGAAAGGGGAAAAAAAATCTAGGTAGTAGTAAAGGTGCTGTTGAGATCAATGAGCCAGTGTGAAGTGATTGTGAGTACTACTTTTAGTTGTAGAGGGTGGGGGGGAGTGGCTTCTCCGGGGAGGTAGCTGAGAAAGAGCCATTGGTGTGAAGATCTAGAAAAAGAATGGTCTAGGCAGAGGAAATAGCATGTGCAAAGGCCCTGAGGCAAGACTAGCAATGAGAGCAACATGATCTCTACCTAAGAGCCAGTGAGTGAAGAGAGAAAATAGGTTGGAGCAGGCTGGGTTATATAGGGACTTCTCAGCCTTGGAGAAGAGTTTTCTTTCTCTTAAATGCAACTGGAAGCCATTGGAAGGGTTCACAATACAGAAAGAAGATGTGGCTTACATTTTTCAGAGGTCACTCTGGCTGTTGGGGAGGATAAAGGGAATGGACAGGTGGTAGGTATGGAGAAAGCTGGGACCAGGACAGACTTCAATGTCCTTAAGGGTCTGGCTGCGTCTGTCCTCCACCTTTTCCATTGTGTCCAGGAGACCATAAGGTCATGGGCAAGAGATCCTCTCCCATTCTAGATCACAGGAGTGAACTTTTCAATACCTTTACTTTTTTCGATACATTTACTTTACTATTTTTACTTGAAATTTTCATTTAAATCAATTGCTATTTCTAAAGAACACTTTTTAAAAGAAAATAATATCACAGCCAAAAGTCATGAGTTTGATATATGAGTTACTTTTTCCCCCTAATACACATTAACATACACACACCACTATTAAAGGTTTTTAAATGAACAAGTGAATATAGTCTTAAGACTAAAGGTGAATAGTGAAACTATAAGAAAAAAAGTTTACCAGGAACACACGAATTTGATATACTAGTTATTTTTTCCCAATACATGCTCAGATAAATACTCGGTCATTAAAAAAAAAAAAAAAAAAAAGCTAATCTAAGTACTAGTTCAAATCATCTCATGCTGTTTTGAGAAACAGTAATAAGTACTAGGTACTTTAGCTTTAACTAGGACCTGGCTATGCTACTTACTGGCTGTGTGGCCTTCAGCTTATTCCTTAACCTCTCTGAGCCTCGGTTTCCTCTTCAGTGAATTGGGGGTAATAACCGATCATCATGAAGCTGTTGTGAGAAGTATTTAGAACAGCGCCACACAGTACAAGCTCAACAAACATTACCTAGTTTTACAGATCAAATAGTCCTCAATTAAATTCAGGCTTTCCTGAGCACCTACTGGGTGCTGGGGCCTGTAGTAAGGGCTGAGAGTCCAGAAATAAATAAGACCAGTCTCTGCCCTTAGATTATTAATCATTTAGCTGAGGGGTCGACAAGCTTCCATGTAAGCACATTACAGATGGGGGCACGTGAGAAGGAGGTTATAAGGGGTCTAGGTGGTCTAAAGGGAGGAGGGATTGGTTCTGTCTAGGGCAGTCACAGACAGCCTCCAGGAGTAGGTGCTGCCTAATGTGGGTTTTGATGGAATAAAAAGGAGTTTGCCAGGTCGATAAAGAGAAATCACATTCCAGGCAGTGGGAACAGCATATGCAAAGGTAGGAAGGCCTCAAATAGGCAACTATATTGCTAGAGTGTCAAGTGCAAGAGGTTGATTTGAAGGAGATACCCCAGGTACTACTTTACCTCAAGCTTAGAAGTCACCTCAACCATCTTGGTGAGATTTAAATGAGACCATGGGAAAGGAAGGCTGGGCATGGGCCTGGCTCCCAATAGGTACTCAATACCTGGCTTCCTTATTCTGAGTCCCACTGCCCCCTGCCCCACCCCCACAGCAGTGTGTGGTGGGCTGAGCCAGCCCACGGATGATGGGAAGGAGTCTCCCAGCTGTCTGCATGCCCGGCCCATCCAGTTCCCAGACTAGCTGAACCAGCCTGTCTTTCCCCTGCCCCACCATGCTGCTATCCACACCCTGGGAGTTCCCAGGTTGCCTGGCTGGGCCTGACCCCAAGAGGGAGGGTCATAGCAAATGAGGTGCATACACATTGCTAAAGACAACCGAGGGACCTGTGTGCTCAGGGCTCAGCACACACAATCCCAACCAAGGACCCCCTCGATGAATATGACCACAACTCTTTCCCTCCCCCAACATGCAGACAAAAGGGCCAAGGTGGGGGAGGGCTTGCCCAAGGTCATCCACTGAAGATCAGGATTTAAATCCAAGTCAGGGTCTCCAGGGTCCCTTCTTTGCCCACTGTACATGTGTGTGTGTTTTAATCCCCTCCAAAGGCCCCCGACTTTCTCCCACACCCCCTGCACCCAAGTCATAGGGAACCACTTGCAGTTCCAGATGGGCCTGTTTATTTCACACCTGGTGCTTTCTGCTGGCTATTCCCTCTGCTTGAAATGCCCTTCCTCCACACTTACTCCCCCTTCACCCCTCTTCCACCTGGCAAACTCCTACTCATCCTTCAGGACCCACCCAACTGCCTCCTTCTCTAAGAAGCTTTCCCTGATCCTCAGCCCAGCAGGCTCAGTCCAGTCTTCCTCTTCAATCACAAAGTACCTCTAAATCACAACAACTGAAAGCCCCTGGAAGGTGGAAAACAGCCTCTTTCTCAACTTTGATATTATCAGTATCTAATGATTTCTTAATGAACACATGAGAAAAAAAATTCATGAACTAACTGATTTGCTATTGCATGCTCTTAAAGGCAGGGATTGTGTTTAGTGATTTTGTTGTTGTTGAGAGCAGAGCATGGGCATCTCAGCATGTTGGCATGTGCATGCACTGTGCAATGCTAGGGATACTGAGCACACAGACCACAAGGTGAATGATATCCTCTGGAGGTGGGCAACAGGCCAGCCTGACCCGTGGCCATTCTGAAACCATTTGCAGCCCATCAGACGGCAGAGCCAAAAGGGTACAGGCTTTGGATTCAGAATCACTGGGGTTCAAAGTTTTGCCACTTACCCACTATGTGCTCCTGGGCACTTGAGGGACTTCACCTCTTTAAGTTTTTGCAGTAAAATGGGAACCCTCCTCACAGGGCTGCTGTGAGAATTAAAGAGGCCAACATGGAAATGCCTAACATGTAGTATGTCCAGAATAACTGTTCATTTTCTTCCTTGAATATCTGGAATTCTTGTTCCTCTCCGTTAACTTACAGACTGCATAAGGAGGCCAGGTTCCCAGACTGGGCTGCAAAACATTTTTATCCTTGTTCCAGAAGCCTGGGCGCTAGGACCAGGTCTAACATACATCAGTAAGGTCCTGTTCCTCTAGGAATTTATCTCACAGAAGCCCTCGTCTATGTGCATGTAACTAGACACAACGCATTATGGAGAGAAGCAAAAGGCTGGCAATGAGCCACATGCCCATCAGAGGAGGCAGATGAATGAACTACCTCCTTCTCCATGGCAGGGTACCCCACAGCCATAACAAAGAGGCAGCTCTCCACACAGGAACAATATGCCATCTCCAAGATAAAGTAAGGGCAAAAGAAAAGTATGGAACAGATTGTTTAATTGACCAGCTGGGGGTCATGATCTGACCCAGAACATGGAAAATGACATGAGACAAATTCTCAGTTCACTCAAGGGTGGTTCATGACTAGTACCACATGGGATGCAGAGGAGAAAGGCTAATTCCTTACACACAATGATCCCGTGGGGTGTTAAGGCCTAGTTCCCTCATGGAACCCCACTGGGAAAGGTTGGCCAGACTATCTCTAGAAGGACACATGAGAAACTGATATCAGTTCCTCAAATGGAGAATCAGGAGACTAAGGTTAGGTATGCAGAGAAGTTCCTTACCACAGATCAGATTCTTGGGTACTTCTGAATCTTTTGCCATGGACATGGCCTAACCTGTTAAAATGAAAGCAAACCATTTTAAATAAGAATTTTTTAAAGTCAACATGTATGAATTAGTAATAAAAACTTGCTGTTTGACCTTGGGCAAGGCTCCTGGTGACTCCATTTCCCCATCTTTAAAATGGAAAGACCATCCAGAGAAGACAACATAGAGTTCATATCCCAGCACCCACCACTAAGATCCTGGCCTGAGGGCCCCTGCTGGATTTCAGCTGGGCTGTCCTCAGAGGGGTGGGACATCAATTACCACCCAGGGCCGCCCCGGATTTTGGACACATGTTCAACATCCCAGCAACTGGAGCTTGTTGTTTACGCTGTTTCCCAGGGAGCAAGATCACAGTAGCCCCTGGCTCAAGGGGTCTAATTTTAAACACTGGATTCTGGGCAGACAAAAAGGGCAGATCCTGGCTACCTACAAGATACATGCACTAAAAAAAGATGACCCTGAGTGCAGAGGACAGAATAGAGAAATCCATCTCTCCCTCCTTCCACAAACTGCAGTGAGTGCCTGTCCACCTGCACTACCCAGGGGGAGAAGGCAGGCTGATGTCTGTGCCCTGGGGCAGTTCCCATCTTACCCAAAGAAGTTAGGAGTCTTAAATCTGACCCCAAAAATCCCATCTAGGAGCACTGTTCAAAGTAGATCATTAGCCCCCAGCCAGGTAATTCGTAGGGATCTATTCAAATTTCTTATTTCATAAGTGGTTTTCATTTATTGGGGTTTTTTGGGTTGTTTTACAATTTGTTTAGGTCAGAATCCTAAATAAGGTCTACACCTGGTGATTGTTTGATGTGTCTCCAAATCTCCCTTATTCCTTTGATTCCCCTTCCATTTGTTTATTTACTTACTGTTTCTCTCTCTTTTTGCAATTTATTTGTAGAAGAAACCAGCTGTCTATATTTTCTAGCATCTGAAGTTGGCTGACTGCAACCTTGAGGTGCCATTTAACATGTTCCTCTGTCCCCTGTAGTTCCTGTAATTTGTTCAAATCTAGGGGCCTGATCAGATTCGGGTTTGAGTTTGGGGCAAGACTACATCATGGTTGGTGCACGTTCTTCCATCAGGAGGCTCATCGTGTCTTTTTGTGCTGCCCAAATCATCCATTAGGGGTTCATGATGTTGTGTCTCTAATTCTATCATTTCTTCTACACTTTTAAGCAGGTATAAATCTATAAATAGAAACTTCCCTCTATCGACCATTTGATTACCCTGAGGTACCATTTATATAGGAAGGGTAAGATTAATTATAATTCTTTCCTTTTCTTTAGGAGCTTAAATCCTTTTTGGTACAATAAATATGTACTTACAGTATGAATAGGCACATTATTCTGAGCCTCTGTAGGCCACCTGTAAAATGGGGGTGCTGGTGAACTCAGAGCCTTATTCTGGTATGTGTGGAGAGCTCAGTTCTCTTACCAAAGGCTGTGTCCATGCATGCTTTCTATGCACTGTAGAACCAGGGCACGCAGCAAGGGTTTTCAGTTTCTCCCCTGCCCCAGCCTCAGCCCAAAAGCACTCCTAGAAGATGGCAGAAGCCAGCAAGGCCAAGCGGCGCACACACCCACTTTGCCTCTGGTGGCCCCTTCTGCACCAGTTTCCTATGCAGTGAAGATCCTAGTGCCTCCCTCCCAGGGAGGCTCTGGGTACTAAATGAGAAAATGTGGTCATTGGCCTGACACCTTAGTAAACCCAGGAAGGGGGCCTCTCCCCATTCTCTCTCTCTCTCTCTCTCTCTCACACACACACACACACACACACACACCACTCCCACACCACACACACCCCCACACACCACACACACCACAACCCCCACACCACACTCACACTCCACCACGCATCTCCCACACATACCACACCCACCCAGACATACCTCCCCATACCACATACACACACCACACATACCCACACACATATAGCAAACCCCCACCATACTCCCCACCACACATACCCCACACACCATACTCCACACACATACCTCCTCACACCCCACCATAACCCCTCACCCCACACAACACCCACACGTACACATACCCCACCACATTCACACACACCCACATACACACCACACACACATCTCATCAGATATACATACCACACACGCACACACACACGCACCCACATACACACCACACACACCCCACCACATACACACCACACACACACCACTCCACGCACACATATTCTACCACACACACACCCTGCATACCACCCACACCACACACACACACACACATACCCCAAAAACACATCCCACCACATACACACACCACACACCCCACCACACACTCCCTCTGCACACACTTTGCCCCCACACACCCCACAACCCCCCCACCACACACATCTTCCCCCCACACACATCACACCACATACACACACCACACACACCACACACACACACACACACACCCAGGCACGGTCCCTCGGGTGGCCCTATTGTTCAGCCACTTCCCAGCCAGGAGGGCGGCTGGGAACGCGAGGCCGCCTGGCCCTTCCTGCTGGGCGCTGACGCGCGGCCTGCGGAAGGAAGAGCGAGTCTCGGCGGGGCCAGCGCATTCCATTCGTGCCAGGCTGTGCACGCACGTCCGCACCTCCCGCGCCCCCTCCCACAGCCCCAGCCCTGCCGCCTTCGCCGCCCTCACCGCCCTCACGGGGCGCTCACGCTCTGGACCTGCCTGGCGAGGGATGGGCTGGGGGCGGGGAGACAGGATGGGAGACAGCAGGCCCCACGTGACCTCCCTGAGCCCCGCCCCCAACCCCCTCCCCCGGCCCCGCGACGGTGGGCTCACTCGCCCATTCTACAGCTGAGGCAAGTGGAGGCCAGAGGAGAGCAGGGAGGCCAAGGCAAATAGGGTGGAAGCGGGGCTGGGGGCTCGCAGGCCCTGGTTGTCTTTGGCTACACAGTGATGCTTCCCTCCCTCACTGCCTGGCACGGGAGCCCGGGAGGGCAGCAATTCGGGGGCCTCTGGTGACCAGGCGCCCCACTGAGCAGACTGCAAGGGATTGGCCTCAGGACAACTTAGACCAGCAGATTTACACAGCCAGGTCTTGCCATCCCAAAAGGGACGGCAGTGGAGAATGAAGCCAGTACTTCTGAGCACCTAGTAGTGCCAGGCCTCGTGCAAGAACACTCCCTCATTTAACCCTCATGACAACCTGGCCAAGTAGGTATGATTTATCCCAAATTAAGTGTCTGGCTAGAAAGTGAATGAACCCAGATTTTCCTGGGTCCAAAACCATCCTGTTTCTGAGTAGCATAATGGGGAGCTCTGGCCCCAGAACAGCAGAATTTAAATCCTGGCTCCACCACCCAGCTAGCTGTTCTGCAATAGGCAGGTCGCTTTACCTCTCCGCGCCTCAGTATCCTAGTGTGTAAAATGACGATAAAAGTACTAATGGCCTAGGATGATTATAAATAGTCTGGAAGATGATGCATGTAGTTCAATTCTTCATCTTACTAATTTCACTTCTGGAACGGAAAGAGGTTGAAATGGAGCTTGCTTGACCAACCGTCCCAGTTTACCTGGGTCTGAAAGACGGCCCGAATGCCGTTTTGGTGCTAAAACTGGGACACCCCAGGCAAACCAGGGCGGATGGTTACCCATAATGACTCTGGCCTTTTTAAAAGTCCACGCCACTGTCCAAAGGGCAGGAATAAGGCCATTTCATGCTCTCAGTGCTGGTGAATTTTCCCAGAAGCCCTCAGGCCTCAAGCCCTTTGTCCTGGTCTCTCCACTCTGCCCTTGCATAGCCAAAGGGAAACCAGACATTCTTCACATGAAAATTTTCCACATCCTTCAGGGCAATCTTCTGCTGCCAGAAATAGGAGGATTTGGGAGTTAGCCCAGGCCACTAAAAATAGCTCCTAGGGCCCCCCTGGAAGGTCTGCACCATCTTGGCCCCGGGTGGCCTGCCACCCAGTGAGCTGCCTGCACCAGCCAGCGCCTTAAATGACTGAGCACTGCTGGTCTGGCTGATCAAGGCCAGCAGACACAGAAAAGACTGACTCCCACTTAGGCCAGCTGTTGGGCAGGACCACCCTGGCCTTCCGCTCAGAGATGTCCCCTCCTCCATCCCATGGGATGTCCTTCCCCGCCATCCAGAAAAGACAGTACCTCACATGTGTTCACACCTGAGCAATCACACAAGGGCCTCGGCAGTTCTCACACAAACTGGGACCCACGGCTGCTCCCTCTGTGCCGACCTGCACCCGTGCGCCCACTAAACAGCCACACACACACTTACCCCAACCGTCTCATTTTCACTATGCAAATGTCTCTCCATTCTTAAGGCAGTGTTTCCAAATCCTTAATACCTTTGCTTCAATTTCTCCACAACCCCTACCTCACCCCCAAGACGATTTCTGTCAAGCTTGCTTTTTGCTGATGGTACACAGGGTTTAAAAAAAAAAAAAAAAAAAAAAAAAGGTTGAAGATGCATTTTCAAACTATCTTCAAACTACCTTCTATTCCCAAGATTTGATATCTGCCCCTTACCTGCTTCCCACTGAGTAGGTGAGAACCCAAAGCCAGTAGAGAAGGAGGACGCCTGGGGAGCATATGTGGGGTCTCCAGATTCCTGCCCAGCCTCCCGGCCTGAGCCTCACAGCTCTGATGTAAGGTGGGAGCAAGGCAGAAAGGTGCTGTGCCCAGTGTGAGGGGCCAGGGCTGAGAGGCCAGTGTGCCTGGGGTCACTGCCACATTCTGGAGCAGAAACACTGCCTGTGCTCCCTGCGTTGCTGCCTGAATCCCATCCTAGCCTGCCTGCCTACTTTGTGAGGGAAGCGGAAGCGGAAGAAGGGGTGCATTCCGCAACCAGTCCCCCCAAGGAGCGGAGACCACATCCCTGTCCCTGTGAAAAGCAGAGAAAGGAGAACTGACACAACCTGAACATCCAGGAAGGGCATCAACTCCCAGCCAGGCACCCTCATTCATTCATTCCCCCAAATATTTCTTGAGCACCTACTATGTTCCAGGCCCGTGCTGGAACAAGATCGATATGGCCCCTGCCCAACAGGTGCTTACAGTGCAGACAGGAAGCCACAGTAAACCGCTGTTACCCTAGAACAGAAATTGGACCGTGCCTGGTGCCTCTTGTTGCTTAATGAATGTTGGCCCCATGGGAGCAGCCATGGTGGCGCGGAGCTATGTAGTCAAGGAGCAAGGTGCAAAGGTGGAGAAATGGAGGGAGGGGCTTTGTTAGAAAAGGTGTTCATGCAGGACCTCTGGAGGAGGGGAAGAAACCAGCCTCACAAAGG